GACAAATGTAATAATAAAACTTTAGTCATAAAATATTGCGGTAACTTTGAATACTAGTAACTTCGCGCCTGCTAATCCACCCGTGCCCGCGTTAATTTTATTACATTATAACGATCCCAAGTCTTGTAATGTAAGTTAAAAAAAACCTAAGTTGCTACCTGAAAACTAAACTTCGTTTTTAAGGAATAGTAAGCAAACGAGCAGACGTATTACCTGATGCGCCGCCCATGGACACCCGCAATACCAAAGCAGTCACAGGTGCGTTACCGGCCTTTTAAAAAGGAAAATGCTCTTTACTTGAAGGTTTGTTTATAGGATGATAAAAGATTTTTTAGACTATAGGTTTAAAAACGTATCTATCTTTAGATTTGACAAGATACCTATACGCGAAAAACAACACCCTTCCTTTAATCGGAATTTTAACAGAGTTCTATCAAAAAGTGTCAATATTAAGCAAATTGACACCGGCCATAAATAAAACAATTTCAGAACTTATTTACCTTATACAAACAACCTGACTATAAAATCTTTCTGCTTTACTATATTAGTTGAGTAAGTATATTAAACATACTACATACTACACTAAACACATCATCGTATGTCAAAATAATGACAGTCAATAGAAATGACCATCTTTGTTTTATTACAAAGAGCTTTTCTATTGCAGTATTCTATGTTATAACAGTTGAGTAACATTGTCTTGTCAGTTTTTAATTACTTCCTATTGGTAGACAGTGTTGTGTTAACAGATGAAAGACTTTATCATACCTATTAATATCTTTGGCAAATATATTATCAATTGAACATTTTAAAGGTGTTAAGTACATAGTATTATAGAGTTTTTACTAACATCTCTAACATTTTATTACCAATTTCGTTGTATTATAAACCATCAGAAGATCAGACGCTATTTCCCTACCTTATAGACGAATTTTCCAAAAATTTTTGGTAAGAACCTTCACCTAACAATAAAAAAGAATTAACGAAATTGATCTAGCCAGGGATCTTGGGATTCATTTTTATATACAAGAAGAAAAGAAGATTAAATATGTATAACAAAAATATTAATATGGTATGACTTTATGTTCATCTGTGCAATGCTGGAGTACAACAGCTGGACAGCTTATGATGATAAAATGAATCATAAAATTAAACAGTGAATACCGATCATTTAAAATGTCTATTTATGAGTATAAAGAGCGCTAAAAGCTCTTACTTTAGTAACTGTAACCATGTTATTGATACTTTATTGTATCATGAATCATCTCTGGCATATAATAATTTTCAATAATACCTAGTCAATAGAGGACAGTTACGACTTTCAAACAGTTAAGATTGCCACACAATTTGTTAAGTAAGTTCTAACTACATGTGAGTAAAATACAATAGATGTTAATAAGAAGTCTTCAATAGATCACTGAAGTTACCAGTTGATGAAATGAGGTGTAACTCAAATGACTTTTACGATTATGTTTGAAATTAATTATAGATGGTCAAAGAAATTAATCAACACTAAAGATTTTAAAGATAAGTCTTTATATGGTCTTATGGGTAGGTATTGTTATTGGACTGAAGATAGCGTCTCTTTTTTGAGGGGGGAAAATGACTTCTCCCGCCCGGGCGGGGCGAGGGGAGTTTCAGGCTCATACTGACTAAAAACCACCCCGTTTCTATGCCTGCACTTCGAGCCGGAGCCCCGGTAAGCCGTTAAGTTCTCCGCAGCTCCGTATCTTGTGGAACTAATTGTAATAATAACTATTGCGTCATAACCAAATCTTTTGGAACGTATGTATGTTTCTAAAATTGGACCAATCATAATGGGATGGTGATGCACAATATGTTACCAATTGCTTACCTTTAGGTGATCAGAGTGCAAACACAACACACGAATGACTATCGCATTCGTAACGTAATAGTATCGAGTGCGTTCGGCGCTCTGATTGGCCGGCTCAAGTGAAACAACCTATCAGAACGCTTAACTCGCTCGATACTGTTACGATACGAATGCGATAGTTATTCGTGCTTGGCACTCTATTTACTTGTCTGTGTTCCTATACCGAAACAAAACATCAACAACTAATGAGACTTCACCGGTAGACTAGCCTCCTCTACATAGCACTGATATCATGCCATAATCTTGACGATTTTAATCGTTTAATCAAGTTTATTTAAACAGAAGTAAACGCAAAATTTTGAACTAAATGTAAACAAATGTGCTTGTGATGTGACATCATAATATTTGGAGTTTGTAATAAGTAGCACGATTTATGAATAGTTTATAATGTTTAACTAATCACCATACGAAATATTCACAAAATTAACTGTAAAATAAAAACTAGGAGGCCATAGATCATAGCGAATCAATTAGAAGTTATGTAAGTAGGCGGAAATTTTATAAAATCGAAAAAACAACTACAACTTCCTAGAGTAAGCGAAATTTGGTTTTGGTGAGGTCAAATCTGAGGTCAAAAGGTAATATTGGTCATTGACCAATTTTTAGGTCGTGACCTACAAATCTATATATAATATTACATGTTTTAAGACCTAGAATTATAATTATTTGTAAGCATACTCAGCATGACTTGTGATGGGTGAAACCAGGTTTAATTTTTTATCATCCATCAAAAATTCGTTGAAGATTCGTGTTTGTAATATATACATACGATACATATACCAAAATAACATTTTTTTTACAATTTATTGTCGGTTTGTGCTAGGTTTACTGCCTACTGCTTTTGCAAGATTTTTATTGACAGGTAGCTGATGTACTAAGGAGTAACATACGCTACTTGTATTTTGGAAAATTGTAACAAAAAAATTATGTCTTAAAAATTTATATTCTATGCGAACAAAGTCGCGGGTAACGGCTAGTATTTTAATCCAAAAGGTCATAGCAATACGTAAGTCTAATTTTAATAATCGTACAAAGTGCTACTATTGACCTTTTTTTAATTTTCTACCTCTATAAATTACCTAAGTCAGAAATTGTGTCCAGTTAATGGCAATAAGCTATTCCTATATTGCGCACATAACTTATAATTTGAGTGATTTTTGGGAATAGTTTCGATAATTTTCCTCAACTACTTTTCGGTAATGATACAAGGGTATGTCATTTTAGATTACATGTATATTTAACATACTCTCTTAAGTTAAGAAAACCAGGAAACTTATACCTGAAAGCATTTATCCCGGACTATCAACAGATGGAGATTTATTTAAAATCACGGTACGACCATACAATATACTAAATAATACAGTAACCTATACATAAACATTGTATAGACAAGTTATTTACATTTTAATCTAAAGTGCTGGAAAGTTCTGTTGTTTACTCTCTGATTGATTTCAATATATCGTTTGTAGCAGTCGTAATCGAGACTCGAGATGAGTTTTTATTGGTTTATATTTTCTATTTTTACTTGTGTATGTGTAGTGTACAAACTTATTAATCTTAAAGTTTTCTAATAAATAACATCACATTACATCAACAGCCTATAAGTGGCCACTGCTGACCAAAGGCCTCTTCTCGCACAGAGAAGATTTAAGTTTAAGCATTAATCACCACGCTCAATGCGGGTTGGCAATTTCAAACTTATAATTATAAATTATAAAGTGCAGGTTTCCTCACGATGTTTTCCTTTACCGTTTTTCATTGGTGTCTAAATAATTTTGGAAAGTACATATAACTCGGAAAAAGTCACAGTGGTACCTACTGTTATGTCTACTGCATTGTCGTATGCATGAGAAGCAATAACATAACATCACGCCTTTTATCCCCGAAGGGGTTTGTTACGAGTCCCATGTAATAGGGGGTGAGCCTGTCGCCATATACCGGGCACAATTCCAAACTCCGTGCAGATTTTTTTACTGAGATTTATTTTTAAATCCCAGTAATACTTTACCCAACCCGGGAATCGAACCCAAGACCTCTTGCCCGGCAAGTCACACTTGCGACCACTCGGCCAAAAGGCAGGCATAATAAGCAATAAAAAAATCAATAACATCACACCTTACAATTCCAGCAGCAGCATAAAACCTATGTTTGCACGTGACGAAATGTTATATCATCTGTCCTATTTATATAGACAGAGACGATAAGCATAAAGGTATGATGTTATTATGATGCAGAGGGCTTAGTACGATTTTGTTTTACGTTTATAGTAATAGAAACGAGATCGCATTCGACGCTCTGATTGGCCGGCTCCAATGAACCAACGAATCAGAGCGCCTAACGCGGTCTCATTTACTCTCGATAGTATCTAAACTATGTAAGTACTGTACTTTAGTAACCATAGAGTACTTAATCACAAAAATTAAACTATTTAAATACTATAATTGTCATTTGTATGAGCCTAGAATTAAACATCACATAGTCTGCGCGAACGCAGTGCGTACTCGCACGCGACCACCAGGAAAACCAGTTTCTAGTATATTTGTTTTGTGACTAGCCAAATTCCGATGCAATATTGAATATGTCCGCTTTTACTTATTGTCTTGTGTTGTTTTCCATATTATGATGATGAACCGTGAGGTAGGTCCGGTTGTAACACTAGAATTTTAAATGTTTGTTTATTCTTTTTCACTCTTTGAATATATATTTCACTTTTATATTATTTTATTCAGACCTTAGTCTTATTTATAGATAAATCAATTTCTTTCTGTCGGAGATCGAACCTTAGACATGGCCGTACAACCAATACGCCATATAGTCGGTGCAACAGGTATGTCTAAAAGGACAACACCAACTTTTAAATGTTAATCATTATAGTTATGTTTTTGGGAGCAATTCTTTTAAGGTTTTACGACAGACATTACGATTCCCGTTGACGGGTGTACGCAACTTTAAAGTCACCGACAAGTTCAAATGTCAACGAATCCAAATACGCAAAATTACTGATGACTCTATAAACTGCAGTTACAAACACTATTGAGAAACAAACTTGAACTTTATGTCAATTGCGGAATACTCATTATTGTTATATAACTTATGAAACATTTACCAGTAAATAAAACCGCATGGTGACGTCACGGCGCCGCACTTTCTGTCAAAAGAAAACAGACTTATCAGATCACAGCACTACACATCACATCACTGTTATCACGGTATCACAACACTGATATACCTGTGTGTTGTCCGGAGTTGGGTATATGGAGCGAGCGGGTACATGCAAAGCAATGGTTCAGCGAAACACAACGTTACGTTCTTTTATACCTCGGAAACATTCCCACGAGATGCGCATGTGTTGGAGGCTTCGCTTGACCGAAAGCGCTCACTCCGGTAGAGCGCTGTACCGCCAATATAGTCTACGCGACCAACCTGACTGCGTGCTTTCACTACTCACTAGAACTACGTGCAAGCATAAACCTCTTTTTCATTAAAACTTTTTGCAATACTTTCTCAATGCACCTGTGCTACAAATATGGAGTGAATTATTGCTGAAATGCTTTTTGGGTCTTGCACTGAAAATATTTTTTTATTTTGCTTTATAAACTTGGCTTTTTGTGTCTTCTCCGATGCAAACTAAAGCTACTTGAAGACTGATGCTTTGAGGAGCTAAATTGCGAGTGGTAGAGAGCTTTCTCGATAGTAGCCATCAGGGGTCGAAAGTCAGTCACAAATCCTCTTCCTGAGAAAACTTTTCAGTCAGTCAGGGCTTTAAATTATGTATAAGTGAAAATTAAAATACACAGTTTACATTTTTATTAAATTGATCTACTGGTGCACCTACTTTTTACTATCGAAGTACATCAAAAGAAATTAAATCAAACCCGTTGCTACCGTTATGAAATTATTACAACAATTTCATAGAACAAATCGATTATTACGTGTGTGTTTAAAAGACGCACCATAGTTTAGAGTACAAGTTGTAGTAGGCGGACGGTAGCGCTTTCGATTTATTTGCATACAGCAGACAGTTAGGCTGAATGAGCGACGGTATACTGGCAAAATTTTGACATGTTTGGTTTTTTTTAAAACTAAAAAAAAATTGTCAATTTTATTGGCAAAATTTTGACGTTTGGTTTTTTTTTAAACTAAAAAAAAATTGTTAATTTTATTAATTTACAGTTTTTCTTGTAATGATCGGATTCCACAGAAATGTTCAAAATGATAATTATAGATGTTTGAGCAAGAAAACCTTTATTTTGACACCATCACGTGATTGGATTATAATATCCTACCTATATGTAAAATTCGTTACCATATATGAACACAATCGAGACGTATAAGTAGAATAGTCATATAGACATCGTGGAGACTTAAGAATCTACATAATGTTTAGTGTCAAAGTTCGAGAATTTTATTGCAGTTTCTCTCAAATTCCGACTGAATGGATTTTATTAACTGAGTTAAAATCTTATATTTATACATAGCTGATATAAAAACAAACCGCACGTTGTGTTGCTAAGCGAAAAGTTAAAACCGGTTTAATTCGGTCATTTCATTTTTGATAGATCTCATTGAAATCTCAACTTACGAATGAAGAGGAATTAAGTATTTGGCAACTAGTCGAAATCAATACTTTTTTCGAACTGTCAAAAACTACAGTTTTCTATGAAAGTCAGAGTCAACTCAATTATTTCAATTAGATCAGGAAGGCGCTTTTGAACGTCAAACAAAATATTGAAATATTATAAATAAATATCGGTCTGTCGGTCAGTCCTCAAGTGAAGCTATTTACTCGTTCCATAGTGTAGATTCCTATGGAGAAGAACGAGCAAGAAACGCCATAGGTTACTCTTTTTCAATAAATATTCTACTCCACCATTACTAAACCATAAGTAATTAGGACTTGCAAAGCTTAAAAAGAACAAAAAAAAACTAATTCAATAAAAAATGAAAGCAAGTAGCTCATCTTCTATTACTTCATCGAAAAACACATTAACTGTACATAACCATTACATTGTAGTTCGCAATCTCTTGTATATAACTCTGTTAATTATATTATGACGAAACATATATATAAGCAAGAGTGTCGATTTTGATTGGGCTTGGTTAAACATCTTCATAAATCTTGAACTGGTTCAAATTTCTTTAGATGTATAGATAGGTACTTCGTTATATCTTGTGCAAACAGATTTGATATTTGTTTTTAATAGCTTTATCGATACCTCTTTATTGGTATTTTAAATGTAGTATGTAATTTAGTAGGTTCGAGCTCCCATCAATTAAAGAAAACTTATTTTACAAGCTTCTAATGATTTAAACATTATTTATAATGTAAAAAAGAATATAATTCTTAACTTGGTGGGACTTGTCGGCAGTTGAAAGATAAACGTTTATATTTTCTTTTAGAGTTGTTGCAAATACCTAAGTAAACTTATAGTCTGTAATTTTACAGACAATGTCAAATCTTGTAAGTCTTGTGTTTTATTGGTTAGTAAAGTACAATCAGTTTGATAGGTGCAACTTCTTTATTCAATTGACACAGACTATAAAAACTTCAGATATTATGAACTGAACTAAGAAGTTACAAAAATGGCCTCTCAATACTTCTTGACCAATTAAAAGCATTTATGGTGTCCTCTTTCAATCAAGGTTGTACCTACATCTAATTTATATCAATAGTAGGTCAAACACTTGATATTAGTACATCATTAATCAAGTCAAAACCCATCTGTTTGATGTTGGAAAAGACATGGATTTAATGATTTATTTGTTGCTCGCCCACTTTTCAAAATATTGCCAAATCATTGATGAGTTTTTCACGTAACTGCTTGAGTAATGTGGGAATATAAAACAAAATTTGTAAATAACATGACATCATTATATTGGGTTCCTTTTTGTATTCAGTTATAATTAAATAAAAGATGTTTTTCGTTTACTGGGAAAATAGACAAACATGAGTATTTTCATCTCACTTAGACCTCCCTGGTTGGTCTCTCATATCTATAAAACCCTACTGTCGATATTTTTGGAAATAGTTATTAGTTTTACAGTAAGATCTATGAGTGAACATTTTGTCTGACATCATGCATTAATTCTAAGTTAGACACAATTGTGACTATGAAACATCAAATGGCTAGGGATAACGCGATGGCTACAGACAAGACTAGTATGTGGTATACTTCTTTTGGAAAATCTTTATTAGTTCGCATGTTAGTTAGTTAGTTAAAGGTTCAGTAATACTCTATATATATCTACTAATAAAAAAGATATACATATTGCATGTTTACAATACACACAATTCTATACTTTTTTAAGAAAAAAATATTTCTCTAGTTCAAATGCTGCAAAATTTATGTATTCAGTTCTTGCATCGAATAAAAAACATTCCCCACATAATTTCCGTAAACATAATAGTCGGTTTAATTGTTTTAATTTTACTTTTCGTAACATTTTGTTGAGTGATTACTGTAATTATTCAAAATAGGTAATTTATGACTTATGCGTCGATACATAACACGTATTTTGCAATGCAACAGACATACATTAGCCTGCCTAGCTGCAAGACGATTTATATTTCCTACATTGCAATACATAACAGGAGGAAAGTACTAGGCGTTCATGAGTACTAAAGAAGTAATCAAACAGAGACATCGTTCAACTGAATGCAATTGCAGTCGATCTCTAATTACCTGTAGAATCTTACACTGAGGCTGCGGTTACATTAGCAAAAGTAATATTTTATTTTATTGTCTTGTTGCTATCGGCGTTTGTGTACAAACAGTCAGTTAGCACGTTAAGGCTAGAGATAACTTCTGAGGTATAAATTGAGGTTGAAGTCCCCTTCTAGTAGGATGGGTCGCATTCCAAAGTATCGAGTATGATGACTTAATATATTCTCAGTGGTGAAGAAAGGCGAGCCTTACTTTACGGAGCATTTTAGATTATTTACTAAAACAACTCCCACTTTAGAGCTGACTAGCGCTGTATGTTTGTATGACGGACGAAAGTGTAGCAAAATAATAAAGTATGGGAGGATATTATAATAGGAGACACTTTACTTTCTGACCCGCTGGACCAAATAGGCATAACTTTATATTAAAGTAAGTGGTCAATTGCTAAAGAAGGATGACCTATATTTATATAGCAGGCATAATTATTGAAGACAACCCACCAAATGAATAAATTATTGAGACAAATAACCTAAATTCTACATATATTACAATACGTCTCCGAATTAATGTATCAGCTGAGAAAAGTGGTCTCAATGCCTTTTCATAAATGGTATATTTTGCTACGTCCATTTCATAGACTTTTATACTCTCAACCATGTCGCCATAAAGTATCATCTCCTTGCAATACTTGTTCAATTTCCTAACTCAGATATGAAGTGTATCGAATGCTATATTTTACGCTACACTGCATGATCTACGCAGGTACTCTATTATGCAAAATTTCTTTAGCACATTCTCAACCTTGAATGTTTTGAAATAAAGACCAATATCTATTGACAGAATTTGTCCTATTAAAGTAAGGTGATGTACTTATGTAGGTATGTGTTAAAACTAGTGCAATCTTTTTTTGAAATCGCATTGTATTAAGACACGTTTAGTTTTTTGAAGGTCATAGTCTAGATGAGTAACATTCACTTGTAACCTAAGATAAAATGTACTGGTTAGAGTGCATGGTCAGACTGAAACGTTAAACCGCTTATTACAATTACCTGTTTGCATGTATTAGTTCCTTATATTATGTACTAGGTCATCCCATTTCATATATTGCATACAATTTGGACAGAAAATTGCGCTTTGTACTTTCTTTTGAACTTTCAACTATATAGGTACATTGTTATTATAGAATCTAGATACCTACAACAAATAAATGTAATTTATCTTTACCTTATTTAAAAAAAAGTTAGAAGTACCTAACAGTGCAAAAAAATGTTACGATAATAAAGTTTTTATTCGAACGCATTTGTTTTGTTCTAATATCACGCAACAGTTCCGGCATAACCGTCTTAATTTAAATTTGGAACAATGGCGGATGGCGGGAAACTTACTCGTGTGTATAATGGCGGCTCGGAGAAAAGTGACAGTTCGCTAGAAATTAAACACTTACGTAATAATAACAATTAGCTCGTTAGTGAGTTTGTAATTATATGAAATTGTGAGTAAACTGTTACTATTATTGTATAAACTATGTGAATGGCTTGGTTTTGATTATTTTTTATAGGTATTATAAGACATTTGTAAAGGAACATTTAAAAAATGTTTTCCGCTTAAATCAGTCTTATGAATCGTCTTCGAATGCTTTTAAAGTTTTCAAAAT